AAAGTGGCCTGTCAATAATGATCGAGAAGGTCCACATTCCCTTGCCTTTCTCATTTTCATTACTGAATTGTTTCTTCAAACTCCGCGTATAAGGTAGCGAGTCAATGTTTTGATATACATACTATATTTACTCATGAAGAGCTTAAAATATGCCATATATGCATTATCATATTCTACTAACTATGCTTTTAAAGATACAGATATATTTGTTTCTGTATTCAGTAAAATAATTTATTGCAATTAAAAAAATTATCCCACTTTAAAATCTATAATCTCGCCATTTATTTAAAATGTATTTATTTTTCTTCATGATAGAGAACATGTACATGCACACTAGAAAGAGAGAGGAAAAGGCAGGGTTTCGCACTCTGAGATCCCCTTTTTCCAGCCCTCTAATCTGTCGGGATCTTGGGCACACTCACACACACACACACACACACACACACACACACACACAGAGTGTATTTTCAGGCCAAACCAGAGCTTTGAATAATGGTCAGCTATGCATCTTCCAGCACTGTCATTTCGTTTACTACCAACACCACCACAAAACCGGACCACTTCATCTTTTAATAATTACATGTTTACCTTAACACAATAAAGCTTAACATGTATGTGTCATTGATTAGTATAATTCTAGTGTGAATTGTGTTCTTTGCAGATTGGTGGCAAAGTACACTGAAAGAGTGATGGAAACTGAACAGAAGTAGCAGTTAAGAACCTTAAAATGGAGAGGCAAAGTATTAATGGGACAAAGAAATGGGGTATTATCTATGGAAGATTACTTTATAGTATTATCGATTGGACTAGGGAGAAATGTACACATGTTGGAATATTCACTTTGCAAGCTAAATAACATGACTTAATATATAAAAGAACTTAAAATAAAAAATAAATTAATTAAAAAATAATTGCAAATTAAAAAAAGAAACAGACATTATGCATATGATAAAGACATGTGTCTTCAGTATTTTCTATCATATAGCTTAAAGAATACATAATATACTTTTTTGAAAGTAATTATAATAAAGGTATGAAGACTTGTCACTTAGTATTAGATATCTTTTTTCTTTTACAGTAATATTTGTCATGGGGATATTCTGAATCTATTGTTTTTCAAAATTCAAGATCCTGATTTAACCTACAAGAGTCAAGGAATATATTTAGTATAAAAGTTTCTAGGTTATGAGGAAGTAAACTGATAAAACTGATAGTAAGAATTCTTTAATTTCCTGACAGTTCAATGTATAATAAGCATTTCAAGTTATACCTCGTAGGTTATCATCTTTTTGCTTATGAAAATATTTCATCCATCACCACCCAAAAAAGAGCATACTCTTAGATTTGATGGTTGTGAAACTCAGTGGTAAGTCATATCTGCTGCAGACGTGATTTCAGAGTAAATCTTTAAGAATGTGGGTGCAAGCTTGTATACCACTGGTGGAAATATAAACAAGTACACCCACAGTGGAAAATAGTATGGAGGTCCCTCAAAATTCTAAAAATAGAGCTACCATATGACCCAGTAATTTACCTTTGGATATTTATCCAAAGGATAGGAGATACATTTGCATATCCATATTTTTTTGCAGTATAATTCACCACAGCTAAGACATAGAATCAACCTAAGTGCTCAACAACTGATAAATGGATTAAGGAAATGTGGCACATATACACAATGGAATACTAAGCCATAAAGAACAATATCTTATCATTTGACACAAAGTGGACAAACTTAGAAGATAATATAAACCAGGCTATGAAAGACAAACACCATATGTCCCTGTTTAACATACTAAATGTCTGCACTCTATGGTGGAACCTGAAGGACTCAATGACATAGAAGTAGAGAGAGTAATAGTAGATACCAGAAGCTGCAAAGGGAGGTGAGTGGGTGGAATTAGGAAAATGCATGTAAAAAAAAAAGGGAATATGTTATAGAATGGTGTACCACATGAAAGCAAAAATATCATTGGCAATGTAATATATACTACTTAAAAAGTACAATAATTATCAAATGTGCAGCACATAATGTAATGCTCAGTATTGAAAAAGAACATGTCTATATCTTCTATTTAATTATTATAGACTGTATGCATGCATTGAAAACCATGCTGTACCCTACAAAGATGTACAATGATTATATGTAAGCTAGAAATCACAGTTTTAAAAAAAAGAATGATAGTGGGAACCAGCAGTTAGCGTAATGGCTATGTCGCTGGACTCCCACATAGTCGACCGCAGTTCGTGTCCCGGACCCAGTGGCTTAAAACTCACGCCGGGTGCGTGTGCGTGCGTGCCCAAGATCCTGAGAGGAGAATGGAGGAGAAGGGATTGCGGTGTGGCCATCCCCCCTGGGGGGTGATTTCTCGCTTCTGTCTCTATGTCTCTCTCTGTCTGTCTGGCGAGCACACGTGCCCTATAGCGAAAAAAACTCTCAAAAAAAAAGAATGATAGCGTGAAGAAGAACAGACCAGAGAGGTAGGGGGAGATGGTAAACGCACAAGCCTGCAAGTCAGACTGTTAGAACTGGGGCTTCTCATGACTAATGGTTGACTTTGGCAAGCCCATTGCTTGTCAGACCTCAATTTCCTTAATGCATAATGAGATCTGAAAGACCACTAATGACCATTCTAACTCTGATTCCCTCTGAATATCTAATTAAAAAGTTGCTTAACATTCACCCTTATTGTCCTACCTCTGCGCCCTCCCCCAATAATCTCTTTTCTTATGACAATTTGGGATGTTGGACTTGAGACATAATTAAATTTAGTTTTCACTCTGTGTTTAAATAATTCCAGCGCCCCCTTCTATATCACAATTTCTAATGCTTCTATTCTTGATTTTGAGTCTTCTTTCTCATGACTTGGCAATATATCTTTGAGTAAATGTTTTTTAGAAAGATACATGGGTAGTATACTCTCTGAAGCTGCACATTTGACAAATTCTTTCTGTTGGCTTTACACACATCACCATCAATTTTGTCTAGGTATAAAATGTATACATCCTTTGAAAACACGGTTTTTTAAATCAAAACAGTGAAAATTCCTTCATTTTCTTCTCACATTTATTCTTCTTCCAACTGATATACATAGTTTTTTTTTTAACCTAAGAGCTTTTTTATTTCCACAAGCCTAAATTCCTTAAGAACAAGGCAGTCGATTTTGCTCATAGCAAGGCACTGAGAATAGTTTTGAATGATCTGCTTCTCTTTAAATTTTTCTGGTATATCATTTTTAGTATCTCTTTTCAGACTTCCATATCCTCTCTTTTCTCTTATTTTCATCTTCATCTCTTTATCTTTTTGTTCTACACACCAGGTCACCTCTCAAGTTTGCCTCCTACACCACTGATGATACTTTCTATACAACCACTTCTGTTCTTTATTGCTTGTGGAAAATATTTACACCTTGCTACTAAGTTTCCAATCCTCTAGATTCTTTTAAGTCTCAGTCTAGTATGTTTTCATCTTAGATTATTGTGTTTTTATTTCATTGTTTCTTTTTCATACCATTATTTTGTTAAACGTTTATATTTTTTCAATATCATTTGGAGAATATTGGGCAACTATTTTCTAATATTGATCCATAATAAATTATCAGATTATTTTCCTCCACAATTTTTTATGAATTACTCCTTAGTTTCCTTTTCTGTTTACCATCCTTTAACAAGAAAAAATACATAATTAGACTTTGTATCTTCCCAGTAGATTAAAAATATAGAGAGTACTAAAATCTGAAAGAACTTGAGAGGAGAAAATACAGAATTTACCTCATGACTAGAATAAATGTTATCCCGAAGTGAGAGGAAAGCCTGCCCCTCTTAAAATGACACTCGGTTTGGCTAATAGATTCCATAAATTATGCAATAGAGTTCAATTAACTTAAGGCTTCTTAAGATGTAGATGTCAGAAGTGCTAAATGAGGGGGACTTCAATATATTTATGGAAAAAATGGAGTTGAAGTATGAATTTATTTCTATGCAAAAAAAATCAAAATTCATTCCTAGGTTTTTCATTAATACATTTTCAATGAATTTTTGAAGACTTTTGTACACCTTCTCATAATTGCAGAAAGGGAGGTAAGTCACCTCTTCATGTGAACTAATTTATCAAGTCACTTCCTGAGAACAGACTTGAAGAAACACATGGAAATCTAGTTTCTACAAGTATTGTAGTATCAGCATCAAAAGAAGAAGAAGAAAAAACAAAAACCATAATAAAGAAAGCCTAAGAACTTTAAAGATAAACTTTGTTTACCTTACAATCTTTCCCATAAAGTGTCCCAGGAAAGTCAGTCCAAGTCTTTGAAAAGTTTAAAAGTGTTGATCCTACCATTTCTGAATTGAATGTGCATTCCAGAAAGAGCTCTGAGACTGGAAAGAAAAGTGATTCTTTTGCTTTTTTCTACATGCATTAAAAATTAAGAGGAAAAAGGGACAAGAAAGAAAATTCAGTTGTCTAACTTCTCCAATAGGGGCTCTAAATTTAACTTTGTCAAGTACTTACCAGATACTCAAAGTAATATTTGGCTATTGTCAAGTATTTAACAACATAAGAAATTATGATTCATAGTAATAACTCTTCTTTTATTAATATTTTACAAGACTCTTCTCCCATGCCATATTGGACACAGATCTTATTTTCTATAAATGTCATAAGCCTATGTTTCATGGTTCTTCCTTCTGTAAGCTTACCATCTCAGAAATTTTCAGTAAAAAATCCTTTAATCAAACTGACATCTGGCATTTTCATAAAATTAGCCAAATTTATTTATGAATATATCTTTGAAGAGCAGATTCACCAATTCATGTGTATGTACAGCATAAATAGTAATACCAAATATATCCTTTTGAACAAAACAGAAATCATCCTCGTAGGCTTTAGTGACTTTATCATTGAATCTTTTGTTGATGTGTTTTCTAGGTGGGTGGGAAGGAGTTCATAACCTGTATTCATTGTAAGGAAGTGTGACAGGAGCCCTTTGTGTCTTCTTCTGCAGATTCTTTACAGATTGAAAGAGAAATTCCAGCTCTCCTTGAGACAAGATAAAGAGAAAAACCAGGAGATCCACCTCTCACCCATCGGGTTACAGCCAGCACAGTCTGAGGCAAAGACAGTTCACAGCATGGTCCAACCTGACCAGGCCCCGAAGGTGCTGAATGTTGTTGTCGACCCTCAGGGCCGATGTGCTCCTGAGATCAAAGCTACCCCCTCTTCTTCTGTCTGCCATTCTCCTTTCAAAATGAAGCCCATAGGACTTCAGGAGAGGTAAGAACTTTGTTGGTATCCCATCCACTTGCTTTTTTTTTTTTTAAAAAAAAAGTGTCAATTAAAAAAAAATAGAACTCAAATGATCGATATGATTGGTTTGAATCATTCACCACCTAATGGGCACCAATGCTGTTTTTTGTCTTCCCAAAGAGTCTGTGTTCTTTCAAGTCTTTAAGGTGCATCTAATTCTCTTAAGTTTGTGTAGACTGAAGCAAAGTCCATCTTCAACTACAGCGCTGCAGCTGTCGCCATGCATTGTGTGCTTACTGAGGCGGCCTGACCTAACATAAAGCCATCTTGAATAATTGCCATCAAACTCTGGGGCATAGAGACACTGGGAATGACCCCAGTGTTTTCTGTGAAAGCCATGTTGTTTGGAGTAACATAGAATGAATTTATGCCACAAATTTAAATTTCCCTTTGCTTCCCTTGACCATAACAAACATTAACTATCAAGATACAGGACTCTTGGTTCTCTCATCTTCCTTGTTGACGTATTTACACATGTGATGTGTGTGTATATACAATATATATGGTACATTTTCACATAAATCAAATCCAAATGTAAGAAAACTAGACCATGAAAAATACATAAATAAGGGGCTAATTCCTTGCTTCTCAAAAATATTAAAACTTAACCATGGTGTTTATTAAAATATGCTTCCTTTTTGTGTTTAAAATAGAAGTTGTATTGCATACAACATTACACATCATGGTAGTAGGAAAACTGAGTGTTTCTTGATCAAATTACAGGTTCAATCTCCTTATTTTTTATGTCCACATTTTATAACACTGTCCTTTCTAGTGCCTGAGGATTTTAGATTTTGGAAATATTGTCAAAGAACAATGAATGATTTATTGTAGTGATCTCTAAAGGCTCTTAAAGAGCAAACATTTTGAGTCCATAGCAGAAAGAAAAACAGAACTATCAAGCCATTCTTCCTACGTCTTCTCCTAAAACATTTCTTGGTTTTCTGGTAGATCCACATAGGTCCATCATGTGCTATCTCTTACTTGGATATCACTAAGTTGCTCCTTGGGTTTCAGCACGCAGAGATAAGACCAAGTGGAACGTTCTCCATGAGGCTAACTAGGAGTTAGAAAAACTAGATTCCAGTCCCAGCTTTATCATTCCTGAACAAAGTGGCAGCCTATGAGTCATTCTATCTGGTCCTCCATTTTTTCTTCTGAAATACGAAGGGATTAAACCTGACTTCTGAGCTTCCTTCAGGCTCTTTTAGTCATTACTCAAATTATTTTTGTACATTTATGTTTGCTTCAAAGAGAAACCTTGAAGCAGAGATCTAAGAATCAGAGGTGAATCAAGGGCAGGGTAGCAGGATAGGTTTGTTTACATGCAGGCAATAAGAGCATGTGTTTTCTAGAGAAAATTCAGAGATCATAATAAAACTGACTAAAAATCAGACTAATTTTAATTATTGCAATGTACTACTAATTCTAAGCAAGGTCAGTGTAAAATTGTCTAGAGGCGTAGTTGTTCCCAGCTTCCTATCATTTTTACACCACTGCAGGCCATGTTTTAATTTCAAGAAGTATAAGGTTAAATATCTATGTATTCATTTAATTGAAGTGAACATTTGAGAATGGAGAATAGAGGGATGATATCTTTCTCATCTTTGTGTTCCACGTGGGGGCTCTTGCAGGGCAAGTGCATAATCAGTATTAACTAGATTCCCTGATCTACCAACTTCCCTGCATCTAACCCTTTTCTTCCTTCCCCTTCCCCCCTGAGAGCAGGACAAAGCCTAGGGCTCCGAGTCATTCCTTATCAACCATAGTAACTTGCGTCATCAACTTTCCTTCTCTATTTTCCATGGTACCCTCTGTGCTAAGGCTGTCCAGTCTAGAGACAGGTTTTCTTTTATAGCAAAGTATCTCCCTTAATCCAATTCTTCCTGTGGTTCTTCTCCTTTCTTCTTTTATCAAATAGTATACTTTTCATTCTTTGAAGTTATTAATTCCTTCCATTAGACAGAGAGAAAAAGAGAGTGTCAAAGGTACCCACAACAGGCTCCTCACATTACAATCTACCTTAGTTTCAGCCAGTTTGGATCACAGACTTAAATACATGAGCCCAGTGTGGACAGGGAGGCCACAGGGTGTGAACTTGAGAAACTTCCTGTGTGGATCCAGTGTCACAGAGCATGGAGTTACAGCTGTGGCTGGACCTCAAATAAGCATCTTGAAAGAACAGAGTACATTGGTTGCCTTATTGACCTTCAGCCTTCCACACTCCCAATTTTCTTTTTTATATACTTTCACCAAGTTGATAAGCACATATCTATTTTGTGTCTTACATTTTTTCTCTCTAGCACTAATGACTATGTCCTTTTGCAACATCTCCCTTTAGCCTCCAAAGTATCATTCTTCTGGTTCTTAAGTGGCCACCTTTCATCTCCCACAGACCTTCCTCTCTCCCCTTAACCTCAGAGTTTCATCCTGTATCCTTCCCTCTCCTCCTTGAGTAATCTAACCACAACCACTTCATCTCTTATGGCCTTTTATATGGATGATTCACACTTCAACTCAAATCAGCCTCTCAGTTGAGACCTAGACCCAGATTTGAGCTCTGAACCGAACATCTCACTCTGATCTTGTTTAAACACTTACCATTTTAAAACACTCATTAAAAGAACTCAAATCCTTGCTCATCAAATCATTTCTCTTCTATTTTTATTCTGAATCACAAAAGCCTGGTAATATCCCCAACTCCTCTTTCCCCCTCCCCAAATAGCCAAACATTATGAAACCTGGCATCTTTTTCTACACGCTCCCTTCTGTCCAATCCCAATATTGTCGAGAACTCAGGATCTTCCCGTTTTCTCCACCATTCTCTTAATGGTTCTCTACCTTGAGCTCTGTCCTCTTCCAGACCACTCTTTACGTGTTTCAAGCAGTGTTTTTATTTTTCTTTCTTTTATCACGATACTGAGCATGTGCCCACAGGCCCTGTGTCATTTTTCAAACTGTTGGAGCCAGGGCTCAAATCCTGGTCAACCATATGGGATCCAGCTTCTTCTGTGTAGCATTTAACCATGGCACTACAGAGTCAGCCCTGGTTTTTTAAATTATGTTTGATTGTTACTCTCTTTTTAAATCCCCTCATGTTTTCACATTGCCTCTGGAAAAAATTAATAATTCGTATAGAAAATACACTCTTTTCTGATCTGGCCTTTGCCATACCTTGCCCACCACTAATTCCTACTAAACACCTATATACAGCCATTCTGCTACTTGGAAATTTTCCAGGCATCATTATGACATACTCTTTTTTTTTTTTTTTTTAAGAGAGATTTTTGCTATAGGGAGCATGCACTTGCCAGGGAGACGGAGAGAGATAGAGAGATAGAAAGTGAGAAATCACCCCTCAGAGGGTATGGCTACACCACAATCCCTTCTCTTCCATCATCCTTTCAAGATTTGGGGCATGCATGTACACATGCTGGCATGAGTTTTAAGTTGCCAGATCCGGGATTCAAACTGTAGTCGACTACTTGGGAGTCCAGCAATGTAACCATTACACCATCCACTGGTCCCATGCCATATTCTTTTAAACTTCAGAAGAGTAGTGTTTGCCTATAATCTGTCTTTCTTTTCCTTATTGCTATTTGCCCCTCAAAGAAACGACCAATACAGAGAGCCTGAATCTGGGTCTACCCATCAAGCAGACATTCCATTCATTCCTAATGAATGTAATGCTGTACTTCTGCAACCCAACCCAAGCTTTTTGCCATTCCACCTGAATGATAGAAACTTAATCTCAGCCCCTTTCTGACCACCTACCCCCTCCCTCTATTTCTCTGGGATTACATCTAAGTTTTGAAGGAACTTTCTCAACATGAAGCTTAGAGGTACCCTCTGCCTTGACTTTATCCATCCACACTGCTATCCATCCACATGCTAAAGTGTTCATATGTCCTCAGTATTCCACCCAGGACAATTGCTACCATGTTCTCTCTTATTGCTATTTAGGCAGCCCCTTCTTTTCTAGCAGTTTCTTCCTCCCTTTTCCTCTCTCTTAACTTCTCTTGACTATGTTCAAGCTACTCTTAGATGCCAAAGAATCATCTCTACCACAAATGGAAGTATAAGAAACTCTGTAGTTATGTCTACATTCCCCCTAAAATACTTTCCAGCCCCATCTTCATGGCTTTACCAAGGTTCACATACCCCACTTCAGTCATGAAGAACACAGGGTCTCATTGATAACCTGCACTCTGAAAGCAGCCTCTCTAATACGTATCCCTCCCCTGAGGCCACAACGCTCTCTCAGGCTTTGAGAAGAAGAAACCCTGCTCTTACTTAACATTCTACCTCATTTAACTTACACACCCTGAGACAGAGTGTATAAGACAAGCCTTTTAGAATTCAAAGCCCAAAGCAGAATTCAAATTTCACATTTCTTACCAAAAGCAATAAAACCCCAAAGAATCTGGCAGCCTGCATATAGGAAGGTGCAAAGTTGAGAGGTGGGAATGGGAATAGAAGAGGGAAATTTAAGCATCATTTGCTCTTAGAAGCCACTGCAGGCTCCTTCTACCTTCTTCTCCCTCATCCTCTAGCCCACCTTCCCCCAGGTCAACACCAACTCTGCTGCTTATCTTTTGCCCACCTCTGTTTTCATGCCATAACCCCTTGTACATACAATACTTACAGCATGCTATAGTGAATTTCAAATTTTGGCTTAAAGTAATCTGTTTTGGCAAAAAAAAATCCTAAGATTCTTAAGGACACATATGTAATTGTCTCTTTCTCTCTTACACATAGAAGTAATTCCTAGAGCGCAAGAGCTCCTGTCTGAATGAGTGAATGAATGAACAAATGAATTAATGAATTGTATCATGAATGATTCTCAGGTCAATTCTCAATAATTATAAGGAAGCACTGTGCTTATTCCCCTATCCCTTCCTCTGCCGTTCTCACCCCTATATTTTCCTACCATAATTCCTTGCCAAGATGGCATAGTGCAGAGTTTT